CTAGGGAATTCTGGGAGTTGAGGTCCACACATCTTAAAGTTGCCAAGGTTGAGAAACACTGGTATAGATGGTATAGTGAGGGAAATGGGAAAGCCAAAAAGAAATACTCTTGAAATTTTATTTATTTTTAATATATTTAATTAGATGTATATGGCCACCTCTCTTGCTATAGGGGCTCTGGGCAGCTAACAACAAATAAAAACACCATACAAAATAACAACCAAAATATAAAACCAATAATGCCCACTGAGGTAAAAACAAATCTAATAAACTAAAAACACCCCATGGGCTCCAACTAACTTCCTGATCCACATGCCTGGGAACCCATCCAGGTCTTTAAAGCTTTTTGGAAGACCAGCAGGCTCAGGGGATATGACGTTCCAAAGGACAGGAACTGTGACACAAAGACCCGCTTTCATGCAATGCAAACAAATTACCCAGAATAAGGTAATTCTGTCAAACTACCTTCATCACAGTAATCTGAGGTAAAGTCTCTGTAATAGATTCCTTGACAGTTACATGATTATTATCATTCCAGGTCTTAATGGTGATGATTTCCTAGTGCTAGGTCTGCGAAATGGTAGCATGGTATACAGTTACAACTTGGGATCCGGAATTGCAACTATTATTAGTGAACCACTTGACCTGACACGTCACATTCACACAGTCAGTCTTGGCAGATTTCTTAGAAATGGCTGGATGAAGGTAAGACTTCCTTTAGAAAAGCTCCATCTACAGATGTTCTTTTTTTAAAAAAAAAATTTTATTAATTTTTGCAAAAAGTTAAAAATACAGAAAAAAAATTTAAAAGGAGAAAAAAAGAGAGGGGAAAAAGGGCATAGAAAAGAAAGAGTAGCTTCCAATTTTCCTTGGTACAGGTATAAATGTAAAATATATTCACCTCTTACTCTAGTTTCTAAAAGTTTACACACTCTCAATATAGTACATCTGATGAAGTGATTCTTAACTTTCACTTTGTCATACCATAAATATCCATGCCATCCAAATCTTAACTCATGTCCTTCTCATCTACAGATGTTCTTCACCACTTATTGTAGTTCTTATAGTAGTGAGAACCAAAATTGTGGCTTTGGTCATGACATTCATGGCATGATTCTAGCCAATGATACTTTCAAGCTGCCCCACAATGCTGCTGTCAGGATAAAATGGGAAGAAGAAAAATCTAACTTTAATCTGACATTGACATGCTTTTAATCTATCTGAGAGCCAGTATAGTGTAGTGGTTAAGGGTTAGATTTGCACCAGGAAGTCCCAGATTCTCATCTGCAGTCATCCACAGAAACTCTCTTTTAGCCCAACTTACCTCACAGAGCTATTGTTGTGGGGGGAAAAAAGTCAGAGGAGAGAGTACTATATACTACCAGTTTGAGCTCCTGTATGAAAGGTGGGATATAAATGTAATAAATAAATAAAGATCTATACATTCCATCCTGAACTCCTTTGAAGAATGGTGAAAAGTGCATAATAAAAGTAAATAAATTAGCTTCACTAAGGTATAAACAGAAATGCATAGCATGTGCCAAGTTCTAAGAGCTAAACTAATGTATATTCACTTAACTGGTTTACACATTACACTGAATCATAATGAGGTTTGCTTGGTTTTGACATAGTATCTTATATACTGCATTGCGTTTTTCAATAAACTATGGAATCATGGGTTAGTGTGATGTATGAAACCAATAATCAGAACCTATGAAAAACTCTGTGCAAAAATTTGCACACAAACTGTATAGAAGCCCCTCTTTCAAAAACATATTCCATTTTTCACTTTCCACTTGCTATCACCCTAACCTCCATCCCACTTATAAATTGCTCCTGAAATTTTAGGAAACACTGAGAAATAATGCATGAAGATGTTTCTGAAAAAATATACAAATACAAGCAAAAAGTCTGAACATCTGCCCTTTTAATCGCAATCCAGGAAATTAAAAATCTTCCAATTATTTTCAAATGAGTTGCAGAGCAAAGGAATTTCCTCCCCCTGTTAATTTATATGCATGCTTCTATTTTTTAGCATTGTGATGAGAAATAATATATTCAGTTGGTTATGAATAGCATATTTTTCTTTCTTTGAAAGGTGGATGATCAAAAAAACAAAACAATTATATCACCAGGAAAGTTGACTGGACTCACTGTTTTTAGTCAGTTTTACGTAGGAGGTTACATTGAATATATTCCAGAATTCTTACCAAATGGATCCAGTTTTAAAAATGGTTTTCAAGGTAAGTAACACTGTTATTGTCTTTGTGTATCAAGTCATTGTATCTGTATTAATGCTTTTTAATGGAAGAAGTTGGTTTTCTAGTAAACACAAGGCTGTAGGCAAGCTTTGAGCTTTATATGGACATTAGCTAGGTCTGAAACAACATGCCAAAATTTATCACAGCGGTCAATCAATGAAAAAAGAAAAACACTATCACATAGTGGAAAGAAGGGTTGGAAAAGGGTGTAGGCAGCTGGAATTGCGTGCCTGCCCCTTTAGTTCTTTAGTCCGCATAGTGTAATAGGGGAGCCAGAACATTTGGAAACCAGAGTGGAATCCACTACAGTGGAAGTAACACTTTAATTCTGAAATACCTCAGTGTCTAAATGGGGGAGAGATTGTATAAAAAGCCCTGTGTTTGGAATGGCTGGGTGTGGTAGTAGTGGGTGTTTTGGTATGCTGGGTGTGTAGAGGAGAAGCAGATGGAAGCAAGGGACAGAGTAGCAGTCAAGATCTGTGGAAATGCCAGGAGCATTAGTACCTGGGACTGGTAATAGTAATAGATATCCTAAGGAGAGAGTAGGATAATAATAAGTTGTGTGATAGAAATATAGGTCAGATGAAAACTGTATTAGTGGGACACCTGGGTAGAGAAAAGGACACTTTTGGTACTGTGCATATTGATTTGATAAGTAAAGGAACCCCAATACAAAAGGGGGGAGAAAAGCCTCTGTGTGTGCAGTGTATGTTTGATGAGTCTGGGTAATCCACCCTTGGATATTAAAGGAACGTGTGACACAGATACCTGAAACAATAAAAAGATCTGTAAATATGACTGAATAGCCCTATTGTAGGAAGCATACATCTCAAAACAGCTCTGAGGGCCCCAAATAAATGCCCTCTGGAATAAAATAATAAAATAAACTAAAATAATGAACTGAAAAAAAATGGGGGGGAACAGACTGTTTTTCTCTGAGAAAGGATTCAAAAGCTTTGGTGCCACTGTGAAAAAGGATCTGTCCTGGTTTATTGGTCAAGATATTGTTGTTTAGTTGTTAAGTCGTGTCCGACTCTTCATGACCCCATGAACCATATTGCGCCAGGCCTTCCTGTCCTTCACTGCCTCCCTGAGTTTGCTCAGTTTCATGCTCATGGTCAAGATATACTTTTAAACAAATAAGAAGATTCCTCAGATTGCAGATTTTGGGATTCCTGAATGGGGATATACCATTTGTTATTATTTTATATTTTACTAACAAGGATGAAGCATCGAGTTGCTTGCACCTTGACTTGAGAGTAAGTAATCCCATCTGCTATTCCACCTCAAGCAAAAAAAATGTATTGGGCCAACCCTGCATGAACACCTATCTTCTGAAGCCCAAATAATGAAGTAACCCCACAAAGACTTCTATGAAAACAGGCTGTATTCATATGAATAAAGGAGGTTCTTAGATGCAGTGTCAAACAACTGTCTCTTAAGGCAAAAACATAGCTTAAGATGATGTAGAGATCTCTGAGGAATATTCTCATTTCATGTGATTTCCTGTCCCCCACCCCCACTGCTTATATTTAGGGCCATCCTGAATTCAGTTGTTGGGGGTAGAATAGGGCTACCAGTTCTGAGCTTCAAAAACCTAGGTGATCACCATATTGTAACAAAGTGTCTCTTTGCTTCCAGCTACATGACAGGCTATGTGGGATGGCACCATATTTGCCCATATTGTACAGGCTGCTAAGAATTGAGTGCTCAGATCATATATTCTGAGGCTATTGTTGCATAGATAAAATAGCACTGAGCAGAAGACTGAGCAGAGCTTGTGAGGAAATCAGAATTGGGAACCCCTGGAATGGGTGAGAAAGTTGTCCCCAAAGAGATGAGGAACAAAATTTATAGTTTGGAAAAAGTTATAAATCAAAGAGATTATCTGAAGCTCAGGGTTGAAGTGTGGAGTTCTTGGTATTCTCTGAGTTTGGTTGTTTGCTTACAGACATTTCATTACACTTGTACTGATGTTACCTAGCTGGATAATGAAATGTCTGCAAGCAAACAACCAAGCTCAGAGAGCACCAAGAACTCCAAAGGTTACAAAGGCTGATAGAGACACATACACAAGGGGAGGAAGGAGAGAAGCAGAAGTCTGCTGGAAGCAACGGTTAAGAAAAGGAGAAAGAAAAAGAAATGAGCAGCCTAAAAAGATGAAAGAAAGCCAGACAAGTCAAGTAGGAGAGTCAGATTGCTTGAGTATAAGGGCAAGATTTAAAGTAAGGGAGAGACCAAAAGACTACTAAGGGAAGAGGAGAAGGCATGAGGCTAATGTGGAGTGTGAGGAGCAGGGCATTTCAAGGTACAGAGTGCCTACTAGGTGTCAGCAAGGAGAAGGCAAAGGCTGAGAAGAAGAGTTGCACTTAGTATGTGTTTTCTGGGAGGGGGCAGTGGCTGATCAAGCCAGGAGGAAGTTCAAGAAGGATGGAACAGCCAAGAGGAAGAAAATGAGAAACTGCCCCGCAAGTCTTTTGCAAGGCAGAGAGAGCTTATAAAGTGGGCGAAGAAGGGCTGAGGTCCTGCGCTTTTGAACTGAATGGCCCCTTCCTGGCTTTTCGGTGAGAGAGAGGGAGACTACTAGGATCTCTGAGACAGCCTGTTAGGACTGAGGGATTCATTCAAATTGAGCTCAACAGCTACTGTTCCTTAAAGTGATTCATGTGACTGTGTACCTGTGTAATGCTGTCTGCACACCTGCATGGCTTATGGGCTCTGAATGTAAGAAGTAAAGGGAACCTGTTCCTGTCTCTTCATAATCAGAGGTTTATTTTTTGTATTGGATTTGTGCAGGGAAGGGCAAAACCTTTACAGAGCCCTCCTGCTGGCTGAAGAGTTGACAGCAGGCTTGTTTATAGTGAATTGGAGAGAATTATTTGGAAGCTGAAGGGGGCCTGCTTCGGAGATTCCCTGGGGAATCTGCTTCTTCAGTGCTAGGAGTAGCTACTGTGTGAAAAAACAAGGCTCCCCAGGAGCTACACAAACAATGTAGCACATAAATATAAACAAAAAAGTATTCCACACATAGAGAATAGTCAAGGCCAACAGCCCAACCCCATTCATATGAAATCTCTTGAAGTTCAAGCAGCTTTACTCTCAAGGAAGAGGATATAGAATTGCAGCCTTATATTTCTTTCCTGTTTGTTTATGTTAAGTTCAGAAGTAGTTTGCTCAGAAATTGAAAACGGTGACTTAATATCTCTTCCTTGATGGTTACAAATTTCTTTCCTTCCTGGGCAAGTCTTACTGGACATATGTATTGTTGGATGTGTATGTCTTTGTTTGTTCTATATGTGTGAATATAGACACGTGCACAGTTAAACTGAATTTATATTTGCAGAGTTAAAAGCATCAACATTTACATACATGCAGCACAACCAGCAGCTTCAAAAAATGTATTTATTTTATTTTATTTTATTTATCAAATTTATATGGCCACCCATCTCACAATAAGTGACTCTGGGAAGCATACAACAATTAAGTAAAACAAATGTATATAAAACCATCATTATTAAAAATCTAAAACAGTAATTATTAAAATAGAAAAACCACAAGGCACAGGAGAGAGTGAATATTAACCACAATGATGGAGCCATCTTAGAATGTCACTGGTTCCCTGGGACCTCCAGGCCTGAAGACATAGTCAGGTTTTGAGGGACTCCCAGAACATTAACAGGGATGAAGCTAACCTTTCTTTGGGGGGAAGAATGTTCGATAAGGTGGGCACCACTGCAGAGAAGACCTGCCTCCTGGGACCCACCAAGTGTAAGTCCCTAGCAGATGGGACCTGGAGCATGCCTCCTCTGCCAGATCTAATGGGATGGGCAGATGTAATGAGGCAGTCCCTTAGATAACCCAGTTCTATGCCACGAAAGGCTTTGAAACTCAAAACCAGCACCTTGAATTGGACCTGGAAGCAAACTGGCAAGCAATGCAGCTCGCGGAACAGAGGTGTAACATGTACTGCTCTGGAAGCACACATAACTGCCTGCGCCACTGCATTCTGCACCAGTTGAAGCTTCTGGATACTCTTCAAGGGCAGCCCCATGCAGAGCACATTGTAGGAGACCAATCTGGAGGTGACTAGGGCATGAGTGACTGTGAGCAGAGTCCCCCTGATCTAGTAATGGATGCAACTGGCTCACAACATGAAGCTGTGCAAAGGCCCTCCTAGCCACAACTGCCACCTACTCTTTGAGCAGGAGTCATGAGTCCAAGTGGACCTCCAGATTGTGCATCAGGTCTGTCTGGGGCAGTACAACCCCATCCAGCACCAGAGATGGCATAGTCCTAGAACAGGCAGGCTCCAAAACCCAAAGCCACTGTCCTGTTTCTTTCTAATGTCTTTTGATGATGACAGTCACATAGATAGAATTTCTCCATGGTGATCTGTCCCTAACCTGTTCCTTCAGTTCTTCCAACAGTGCATTCATCGCTACTTTAACTGAGTCCATCCATCTTGCTGCTGGTCATCTTACATTCCATATTCCTACTGTAATTCTTTGAAGCTTTGGATTTTCTTTTAGTGTCTCATAAGACAACACTAAAAGAAACCTCTAAACACTAAAGCAGAAACCTCTTTTTCTTGTCCTGAGCATCCTACTTTCCCTGTGCTTTCTTTAAAAAAACCAAAAAAACCCTTCAGTGATGCACCTAAGAAATGTCATTACTCATTTTCTAAGTTGTGCCAGATTGAAGATAAGGTTTCTTAAAAGGTGGTTTGAATACAACTGCTGATCACCAAGAACAGAGTCCCCATTTTCCAGCATTCTAAAGGATGTGTTTGTTTAAATTATGACCTTTTCCCATTAAAATACACACTTGCCTAGGGATTAAAAAGAACTGAGGGCAGGCAGGATAAGGATTGCCACTTTTGCAGCAATGTACTTTAAAATTAAGCGTTGTTGGAACACAAAACACCTGCTTGTGAACAGATGAATGTTTATAACTTGTAAGAAACCAAGTAAACTCTAGATCACCGTGTGACAAAGTACTGTTGAACGTGACCTAGCCACAGTGATAAATGTTCATATATGCTTTTATTGCTTAAAGCAAAGAAGTGGGTAATCTTTCTTCCTTCCTTCCAGGTTGCATTTTTGACCTCCAAGTCCTTGCTGGGAAGGATCAGGAGTTTAAAGCACCAGGAATTCCAGAAGGCCATCCTAACACTGGTCGCAATGTAGGACAGTGTCAGGTGTCTCCGTGCCAACTGATAACATGCAGAAATGGAGGGACGTGCATGGAGAGTGGCTCTGCGCTGTAGTAAGTAAAGCATAATAGTGTTTTAATGAACCACTGCATGGGAATGCATTGAGACTGTGCAGGGTGTCATATGGTTCTATAGGAGCTCATATATTTGATTAAGAGCAGGCGTGTGATCTTCTTTAGAATCACCTTGCAAGATGCACGTGTGGTTCTCCTTTCCATGTAGTAGCCCTTACGCGCATACCTTCTCCCCCACTCCTATGATCATCTATGGCCATTTCAGGAACTGACTGGAGTGAATGTCATACTGGGGTAGCAAATGGAGCACTGAAGTCTGCTTTGTTCAGTAACATCTACCCCAAGGCTAGAAATCACTTGTAGGTTGAGGGCTACGTCTGTTTTTCTCCATTCTTCTCTGGCATGCTGGGGAGTGCCCTCCAAAAAGGGGACAGGACTAGGACAAGGACTAAATTTAATTTACATGTAATGTAAATTCAATTGCATCAATTAAATACAATTGTTCAATTACTTCCCATGTATCTCCCCTTCCATCAGATTAAAAATCACAGTTCAGGATCGACTCTCACTGGGCCTCAAATCAGTGCAGTGTTCAAGCTTGTTTTTGCCTGCAGCTGAACCAAACACCAAGAAGGGTGCTGGCTCCTCGCTATGCATTAAGTAGCGTTGTATGATTTCCCTTCCAGTAAAGATGAAATGTTTCTTCAGGTTGAACTTACTTAGATAAACACATTTGCTAAGTAATTTTCTTAGCAGCAACATGGAAGGCATTTGCCTTTGCCTTTTTTCAAGATGTTTTTCTTACTCCCAAGTCTGGGGTTTTCTAGTGGTCTCCCATCCAAGTATTAAGTAGGTGCAGTCCTGTTTGATTTTTTGGAGATTAACCAGCACTGAATAGGCGTTGGGGCCCTCCTCCCAGGGCCTGGATTCAAATGTGGGTAAAAGAGGATCTTCTATTCCGTCAGACTTCCCAGACTGGTGTCCCACTCCCATGTGCTGGACTTTGTGTCAACATCTGTAGCCAGCCATATAAATTTGGAGATGTAGCTTTGGGGGTCTTGCTTAGCTTGCAGTGACAAGCTGCTCCTGCAAAGGCAGAAGGAGGTATTATCTGTTCATGCTTTCCCCCTATTGCCTAGTTGTAGCTACTGTAGATTGCCACTAAAACTGAGGAAAACCAGCTTATCAAAGGTAGCCCATGATCCCTGTTAAGAATTGCTTCCTATCAGTGCCATCTTTCACCATTCTGAGAGTACATGAGACACTTCCTGTCCCCCCCCACCTTTTCTATTATGAGCTCCCTTTGCTCCGACAGTTTTCAGAAAGTGTTTGGGATCTTAGAAAAAAATAATTATCCTGGAGAATGTGTGCCTTAGGACACCATCCTGAAAGTTATGAGCAGTTAATTTAAAAGGACAAACTGTTGCTATGGAGACAATATTGCTAATTTAAGTAGTGTGGCATTTTACAGAGTTTTCTTTGACCTATTTTTCAGATAAACGTATTCTGCTCATCACTTGCGTAAACCTCTGTTCTTTACATACAGTAGGTTAAAATTCCAAGTATGTTGTAAGAAGTCTTTGAATTTCTCAATAATCTATTTATCATAGCAGACACTCTTGGTATAGAACACTCCTAGTGTATGTAACCCGCAAGGTGTAAGTCTTATTAACAGGATTAGGGCAATTGGTGATTTCTTAGAATTGATGAAAACAAATGCATTGCTATAAGAGACCAAATGCTTCATTCTATCAATCTTGACAGCCTTAGTCTATGTCTGAAGAGAAAATGTTATGATAAAACTAAAATAGCATTCTAGGTTAGATTGTAAAGGCCTGTTGTTGCTGAACTGAACTGACATCTATTGCTACATTTTGATCACTGCTCGTACATGACCAGGCAGAGTGCTTGCCGAATGCTGAATGTAATCTATCTGCACAACCAGTTTCTGTACAAATATGTAAAGTGACTCTTCAAGGGGGGGGGTGCACGCCTTCGAGTCAGTGTTGACTCCTGGCAATTGCCTGGACTAGTCCCTGCAGTTTTCTTGTCAAGATTTCAGAAGTGTTTTGCCATTGCCCGCTTCCCAGGGCTGGGAGAGAGGGACTGGCCCAAGGTCACCTAGCTGGCTTCGTGCCTAAGGTGGGACTAGAACTCTTGGTCTCCCACTTTCTAGCCTGGTATGAATATTAAGGGACACCCTATTATGCCATTTCTATAACCAGGGGAAAAAAAACCTGGGACACAGAAGGGCAACCTTTTGGTGGCTGAAGGCTACATCGACCTTTCTTTTGGTAAATGGTGTTGGGGATGGCAAAGGCTGCAGTGCATTGGCAATAACTCAGAATGAGTGGGGCTGTCACAGATATGAGCTGGTTAAGGGTGTTTTTGGTGCGTGGCTGGGATTTTCTTTGTTTAGAAATCTGCATTCAGCCTACATCAAGTTTTATAGCATAACTGTTCTGTATATCCTGCCTCAAAATGTTGAAAGTGAGACATCGTTGTTTCTCTGCTCCAAAATCCCCTGAG